AAAACTAAATTAACCGTTTTACGTAGGGCATAGCATTGTTTTTTTTTTTTTTCAACGGTCGCCTTTCAGGGTAATTGACCTAGCAAAAAAGAACAAATAACGGTGTATGCGTGTGCGTACTCATCTGCTGCTTGGTAAAAGAAAGTCGGGCTGCTTTTGTTCACTTTGAGTTGGCAAGAAGAAGAGATAAAGCTTAGCAGACTCCCCTACACAAGTAACTAAAGGGGTGAATCATTTTATTTCGACCGCGCGGGTTTTAAGTGCCGCTCCAAACACGGCGCCTATCCCGGCTTGTTTTCAGTTACCCTTCTGCTCACTTTCAAATCGCTCTCGTAGTCCTTCGTCCGCCTTGCAGTTGCTCTTTCCCCCATAAAACTTTACAAACAACGCGTGTTTTTGAAGTGATCGAGAGAGTATGGATGTCATGTGCCGGTTAATGACACTAATTGGGGTGTGTTTATGTGCTTACCTCTCCCTCTTGGGCGGGTGATTGAGGAGTGAAATTGCATTTTCGCCTGTAGGAGGAAACTTGCGTATCCAGGATGACCTCAACCAATGAAATGCATCCACCGGTGCCTACGTCGTCCTAATTATCGGCCCACCTACTTAAAGCGACGCCTGATCAAAGGGATGCCTTTGATTGGTTCGGTGTAAAGCCTCGGAAAATAAGTGAAATCGCCAAAATTTTTCCCACTATTTTGAGCAAAAGGTTGGATTTAACGCAACAAAAACTCCGGATTAAATGCGGAAGGGCATAAATTGCAATTACTGCAAGTCGGCCGTTCTGAAGAGTCGAACATAAATATATCTAACTTTGAAGCAGCGGTAAAATGCACAAAACAGATAAAAAGGGCATAAAGTTAGGTCATTAAAATGGTGGAATGTTTTTTTTTCACTCTTCAGGCGTTGACAGAAATCCTACACCTTCTGCCTCGGCTAAATGACGATGCTCTAGCCCTCTTGGCCAGTGAGATTGCGAATAGGCGACACCACCACGGGGAGCTGGCGTCGCCTTCCCCATTAGGTCGTGTCACCCCGACGGCTTCCCCTTAGGCCTGTTCTCTACCCCTCTTTTTTATTGCAGCCTTTCGTTGTTCTGATTAGATTCCGTTGATTGAGTTGTTGTCTTGAGTAAAATGTAGATAATAATTCGCGTCCGATTTTGGGAGGAGAAGGAAGGAAATTTGTTTATTTTTTTTTTACTCATTTCGTTCTCATAACAGGCACTAGGTGCTCAGTTCAGATAAAAAAATTGAATTACTTCTCACGACAGCATGACAGATACAAAGGGTAAGCATCCAACTCCTTGTGAGACAGCCAGTTCTGTTAGTGATGCTCGTTTTTCATTCCTCGTGGTCAGAGTGAGTGGATTTTGGTAGCACCACTTTTCAAAAGCGGTGCCTCCCAGAGCACGAGGTTGTGGCGAGTTCCAAGCGCGAATGAGGGGGGAAGGTTTAGCTGATCTTCATTCGCAGATTCAGCCATCCGCAACAGGCGCCTTTCCTTGGGACATGGAGCTTTTGTAATCATGGAGCCTAAGTTATGTGTCATCTTGGCGTCAACCGATCGAGAATGTCTGTTGGCTGTAATAAAATCGTCAGAGGAGAGGCGAGGGAAACAGTCAATGTGGTCTAGTTGTTCCGATTCAGACCATCCAGATCCAACTGCAGTTGACAGCTGTGGCAGCACTGTTGAGGTGCTAAAAAGTCACCTTAACCAATTGTTAGTCATAATTGCACGTTTAACGGAGGAGGCAAGTCTTGCTCAGCTTCAGCCTACTTTCTTTACTGATGACTAATTTAGCCCCCAAGTCTTTATTTTCTACTTTACTTTATGATCTGTTATAACTTAGGAATGCTCAAGCCTACTCATGGCCTGGACTGCTTACTTCAGAGTTACTTTCTTGCTTCCTCTTTCGCGTTTCTTCCACCGTGTTCGAGTTCCTTCACTTCGTCCTCGCCACTCTTCCACATCGGCGATCCAAATCGCATTAACAGTTGTCGTTAATCTTGCAGGACACCCGTAACCTCCCAAAACAGCACCCCTGTTTCGATAGCCTCGAAGTTTCCACAACTTTTTTTCTCCCCAACTTTCTAGAAACAGAAATTTCGTACACCGCGCTTCTGCCACTTCCCCCTTAATTGGTCAATACGGCTTAGAGGCGACCTTGAATGAACAAATATCCAGATTAAGGTCAAGGTCAATCAAGTGGCTGTAAATAGTCAGGAATGGGGCCACTCCCATGTGCTTAATAGCCAGCCGCCAGCCACATACACACATGTTGAACCGATTAGCTTTATTTAAGAAAACACGAGAAAGTAGTTAAGCATTACATTACCCTTTCAGAAACGGCAAACTAGTTCAGTGCAAATTCCACCTTTTGTACACTGGGCGAAATCATACCTTACATGTCTCCGTCAGCACGTAAGTTATATTTTTCCTCCCCACCGCCACCCATCCCTGACTCCTCCAACCATCTAGTTCGCCCCGTACGTGATCATGTATTTGTCTAGCGCTCGGGAAACCTGAAACCTGTTGTCAACCATTGTTAGGGTATAAAGATGCGATCTATTCACTTGACAGCTTTCGTGACTTTTCCCATCATTTCCCTGCAAGCCAGTTGTTTCATCATCGCGTTAATTACCACTAAAAAGGTATTCCTGGCGGGTCATTCTTGACTCCTTTTTCCCTTTCTCTGGCGATGAGAGTCCTTCCTCCGTGGTGTAATACATCTATCCACGAGTGATTCACCACTAGACCGCTTCTGGAGGTGACGTTATGCTAATTCACCCCCTCCGAATGGCATTTAACAGGCAGTGTGACAGGAAGCCTCTTTCTCTAATGGATCGTGTCGAGTGCGCAAGCCGAGTAAAAAGGAGGTGAAGACTCCAGCACAGACGCTTAGGATTGTCGACGAATATGCGCTGAGTAGGCTAGAAGTGAGACGTATGCGTACGTGACTGCTGCGGCGACGGAACGGCTTTCACTCTCGCGGAGTTATGATGAGTTGATTGACCCTAACCCCATACAGCCTCCTTGTACATTTGACTGGCCAATCAGAGGACCCGGGTAAGAGCGCGAGCTTTGGGACATTCCAAAATGGTTTTTAAAAGGGATAAAATTTCCAGCGAATTAAGATAGGAATTTATGGTGGACTTACAGACACGCCCAGCATAAAACCGGGTTTGAAGAAAATCTCAGAGATAGCTTGACACGCTTTTCTGCCTCCTGACGTAGGCATACCCACAAACGCAGGCATTTCACAAGTTCCTACGAGGCAAAACAAGCGACTGTAGCGCGTTACACCCAAAATAGCGCGAAGATTTTTTGGTCACCTTAGGCGATGAAAGGCGAGTGTCGTCGGAATTTCATTCGTTAGACGGATAAAACCTCACAGCATTGATGGCAACCCGAAAGTGAGAGCTGGGCAGCCCGACGCAAGACTACCGCTGGATGCAAAGGCATTGCCGCTCAGATCATTTCAACCTCAGCGAAGTAGTCACCAGGATGATGACAAGGAGCTCTGACCTTACTTTAGGTCCTTCAGTCCAATGTCGACTGCAACAACTCAAGTGCTACAGGCACCATAAAGGCTGCTTACGAGGAAATTGCCTCACCGCCTCCGCCAACACCTTAAAAACCACCTTTTCAGCAGTCAATTTGTTGTCTTCACTCCATCTAGACATTGGACACAACAAAGTATAACATAGTTTTGTACAAAAAAGAGAAAAGGAAAAGTAAAAGGTTAAAGCAACAAATAAAAGGGGCTGGAAAGGGAGGATGAATGAGGCGACACATTAATTTCGGTTGGGACAAGCGGTGTGAGGAATCTTTGAATCTGGCAGATCCCGCTTCTTCTTTTTCTTCATATCCAACGCCCCCTCACACGGTGTCACCACAATACCCGGTTTGTCTCGCTCGGGTGGATGCAGTTCATGCGCTTTGCCTAAAAAATTAAGACGGCAAAAGATAAGGGGAAGTGTCACAGTCAAGAAGGAGATGTCATGTTATGAGGAATGTTATTTTATAGACGCACTGGTCGGTATCTTTATGTCGCGTTGTCAAATGAAATGAGCTTTAAAGAGACACCTTTCAAAATGGTAAAATCAATAAGAAATCGATTGGGAGAGAGAGGGATACGCAGGTCAAACTGTCACCAACATTTAAAGCCGGAAAATCGATAAGTTCTTCTTGTCCAATCAAAAAAGGGGAAAAGTAGAATGTAGCTCAGATGAGGGAGACTTGATTTAACATAAAATAGGTCGTAAATGGAAAAGGCAAGCCTGCCCTAAACCTGAGGGTAAGTGACAGGCAATTTCCTTGCGTGCTTCCTGCTAGAGGAGAGGAAATTGCTAGATCAGATAAATCCCGAGAATATGGGTCAGGAGATTTGAGTTTGTCCATTTTTCTCCCTGGAAAAGGTACTGCGTGTTGACATAAATTCAATGATTAGGCTTTAACGAGAAATAACAAAAAAAATTGACATCTTATCATTCGTTACACGTAAAAAAATGCATTTTAGGTATACAATCAACTGACAGGTCTGCCTTTTTAACAAAAAAGTGAAAAAAACATAGACTTGAAAGTCTGTACCTCCCAAGAAAAACCTACATTCACATCCCTCTACTGGAAGCAGCATGGTCAGATAACAGTGGCAACACACTTCCAACGCCTAAGAAGTCTCCTTTATTTACTTGTCCAAATGGAAAGCAGGGCAGAGGGACACAATCGTACCTCGCTGAAAAAATTGGGAGATGGGGTAATAGGGGAAATCAGCAGACTCTCTGCCTCCCGAGAAATAAGAAAAAAGCGGCTAGGGAAGTCAAATTTAAGGGCGATTGGTCGGTCCGTCCGGCAATGAAAAAAAGATAGGAAAGATTAAAAGAGACATTTCACTTTCTGCGACACGAGGGCAGAGTGAAACACCTGCTGCTTCAGATTAAATCACTGTTGCGGGAAGGGAAAGCAATTTTTCCTAAAAAGGGCAGTTTCTTCCTCAATCGCACCTTCAACTTGGTTCATCTCAATTAACACATGCAGAAAAATAAATGAGTAGAAGATTTTTCGAGAAGAAGCAAAGAGTGGTTGACAAATCAGTTACTTAAAACATCAACCGACCCGCCACTTTCACCTCCACTGACGGCTAACAAGGTGACTATTTCTCGACCCATCCCAATCAGAATACTGGTTTGATAGGCACCATACACGAACAAGAAATTCGGAACAAGCAGATAAAAAAACGCGGGTCCATAAACAACATATTCCGAGGCTGCAGGAGTAGATAAGAAGCAAGTTTTCCGTCTATGTCCTAAGGGTAAATAAACAGAGAGCCTCCACTTGTGGCTTCCACTACAAAACCAGTGTCACATATAGGTGACAGGAATCACCGATCTGAGGAAAAATAACACGTCTTCTCAAATTCTTGACTAACATGGCCTCAACTTGAGCATATCCCTATTTAGCTGCAGTGATTGAGTTTTTTGGTGAGATCGTAGCAGCGAATGTAAGATATCTAGGCAAGCTATTCATTAGTGACCTCTTTAGGGTGAATAATGGGGAGAAGCAAAAAACGCGAAAAAAAATCAGCACTTAACGAAAAAGCCCCGCTGCCAAATTCCCAAGCACGGTAAAAATCCAAAGAATCGAGCCCAAAGCTTCCAAGTGGACGCAAGTGGGGAATAATAACCGTTTTCGGTCAAACAAAGGTTACCTTGTGAAACACAGAGGCGTTAAACTTTTCTTTCACCATAGTTGAGCTATAAAAGAACAATTGAAGATTAACTTGCAGCATTGTGAGAGGGAAGGTTAAGCCAAGCACCTTGAAAAATATCTTAAAGCAATTTTTCCCAATCCAGGCAAAAGGAAGAAAAAAGGTTAAAAAACGCTTCTTACTGAAAAGGGCAAACTCAGGACAGTTAATTTTAGACAAAATGGGAAAAGCGAAAAAGCGGAGGAGAGATTTGCTAACGAAGCTAGAAGCACTTCCAAATTCTTCCCTTTAGCATCTTTTAATCAGTTGAAGCAGTTTAAAATTGCCAAAAGAATTGTAAATGCAGAAGACATAGAACAAGACTGAAAAAAAGACCACTTGTTTTGATGCGAGAAAATGCATTAAGGAGTACATTTGAGAAAGAACAGCCACCTAAATATGAGCCTAAAATAAGGAATTTCACTCAAATCAGACATCAAAAACCTCTCGGTTTAATTTACACTAGTAAACCAGGCAGTCAAATCGTACTTGAGAAAACTCTGCATGGTGGTTAAAACAGCACTGAGAGAACGCACTTTGGGTTTACATAGAGAAGTCCAGTAGCTCACCAGGTTCAAGTGCAGCAAGAGCATGGAGAAGATCATAATTAATGAGAGGTTCCGCCTCGGTTCTAGGTTCCCAACCCACAGGCGGAGATGCCGGAGGTGAAAGAAGAAAGAGATGCTCGGGTTTCGGTAGCGCCAGATGCTCGAAGGTGTCCATATCGTCCAGCACCTCATCGTCACTACCGTCGTCTCCATCTTCGTCAGTAAGATGATCGTCATCAAATGAGGTGCTTTTCGCGGCTGGACGGGCCTGCTGACGCTGACGTTTACGATACTCTTCCCTGTCGTCAGCAAAGTAGCAACGAATCCCCACATTCTCGGATTCCGTGGAAGACTCATTCTCATTCGCATTGGAAGTGCCAACAGTAGATGTTTGAAGTCGCCAGCCCTGAGTTTCGAGGCGAGCCATCACAGCGGCCTCTGGGGTGGACATTGTTACCTGGAAGCCAAGGAATAAGCAAAAAGAAAATACAAATAACCCTAGCAGATATTGCGAAACAGACAAAATGGCAAAGCTTACCATGACGCGATGAAAGCTAGGAAGATAGATGAATTCACAAGTGTCATCATAGGCCCGGAAAACCTGTTCAAAAATGCTCTAAAACCAATGGAATGAGAGGCGATTAAACCCACCTTAGATTCAATATCGGTAAACACATCAATAGGAACTTTGGTCACAATAAGGCGGCATGAAGCATATTTGGTAGACTTGAGAGAACCGATTGTCTCTTCCATAATGAATGACTAAATGCCGAACATCAACTGTCTACTTAAGAAAAATGTTCAGGGGCAAAATGCGAACACATATACAAAGTAGGCGGGTAATCGCACAATTGGTAAAACAAATATATGCTAATAGTTTAAACTTATCATAAAAAGTTTGATTTTGAATCATATTTGCTTTAATTTTTTTAAAAAGCTTTAATGCCTAAGGAAATCAACAACAAGCAGCTTATTAAATATTCGGTTAATTTCATACCTCTCGGAGCAAATTTATCCCGGGGTACATCTGATGACAAAAGGCCAGGCTTGGTATAAACTCTTAGAAAGAGTGACACTTAACAATGAACCGTAACAACGAAAATGAACAAATGGGAACCCCCACTGTTAGCGCTTCCCTCCCAGTGACATACGAAACCCCAAGGTCGATCTGCCCACCTTATTACCGATTGCACTGACCCCAAACAGGTCGACCTCGGAAGTCCAACGGCAACAATCCAAACAACAAGCCCACACCCCCGGCCACCAAGACAACTTAGCCCGCGGGGAGTTACGGGCGCACTAGCCCGAAGTCGCACAGATCACTGCACGCGCGTATATTTACAGAGGCATAGGAGCGAGCATTTGCTGAGTTAAATTACTCAAAAATATCGTCGGTCTCATCCACTTCGTGCAGAACTGTCCGCAGACTCTTCCGCCTATTAGTACGCTTCTTCGCCTCTACTCTTTCCATGTACTTTGTTCTCTTCTCCATCCTCAATGCCTGGCGAATCTTTAGAGAATACAACGTTATACAGATAAGGAAAATTCATCCGAACATGAAAGAGAAGAGAAGCTCACCTTATTTGGCGAGATATACTTGGGATTTTCCCAGATAACTGCACCTCTGAAGCTTCCCAAGAAGATCTTCATTGGGAAAAGTGAGAAACGAGGTCCTAGAACACCAGAGATTTCAACGGTACATAACGCAAAACATCAAATTACAATACAGTAAATGGCAAAAAATACTGTACCTATCTCCGAGAGGGCTCCGCTTTCTTCAATAATCTGATAAACACGGAACCAAATTCGCCCAGCAAACCAGATGACCGAGATAACTTTGTCCGTGTAGGGTTGCATTTTGGGATGAAAATTAGGTGTCCCGAAGGACTGAATAAAAACTTCCTTGAGAAGTTGCAGATGTGGCATCGCGGAGTCGTCGAAACTGGGATCAAAAGAAAGAATTGGACGGCTATATCGAAGTGCGTTACCAGTCATTTTGAGCTCCGCGGTGGTACGCATGTTCTCCACCAAGAACTTTGCTGATGGCCCGCTTGGAACACAGCTTAACCACATGTACAAATCGTGCTTCTTCCGACCTTCAAAAAACACGACCTAAACGAGGTGATGCAGAACATAATCTTAGAAACCATGCATTTTTGGGTACGGTTCTAGACGAGCACATTATGTACCTTCGTCGCATTTCGGATTTCTGCAATTTCGTTGACCAATGGAATGTCTTTCTTGGTGTCCAGTTTCGTGTCCGACTTGGAATGGGGCATCATGTGGATAAGGTCTTTCATGAGATGGCGGCCCAGGGCGGAGACTCCGCGCGAGCACACAAACAATGTTCGTTCACGGTTTTTCCATTGGACCCGTTTAGCTGGTTTGGCATCAGATCTCCGCTTAGAAGGCAATAGTTTGGCTATTCAAAGTGGTGTAATTTGTACAAACTTATAACATACGCCTTTTTGATTGCTGCAATTTTTGGGTCTTCGAAATGTTCTCGGGAGCTAAAGGAGATCATCTAACCACGGACACAAGCATACCTGCACGCTTAGGCATGTTGGCTACAAACCAATGAGGAATACAGGTTTCAAGGTCACAGAATAGAGGTAAGTCGACACCATCTAAACGAACATGGCATCTTTATACGTTGTCACTAAAAGTGTTATCTTATTAAGGGCATCTTTTTATTTTAAAACTTTTAATTCGATCCAAGTCACCGACGTAGCCAAAAATTACAGAAATAATTGTTACCTTTTTCATGGGATATCCTGTGGTAGCTTGAGCCTTCTTTAAAGTCAAAATTATCTCTAATAGCATAAAAGAGCGAATGCAATTGATGTGTAGACTAGACACGAGGCTGGCTGGATGAGCCGGGGACCATGCCTAAGAAAGGAAGCACAATTTGTGTGGACTGAAATGCCCACGCGCGTAATCGCACGCTTAAGTGAACTCTCAAGTCATTAGGGTTCTTTTCGCATAGACTTTGCTGCGCTTTTGTTTGCCTTTTACACTAGCCATCACAAGAGTCAGTGCTCAAAAACCACACACAGCCCTTTAAAGGCACACACTGAATCTTCCAACAGATGGGAAAGCTTATGATCCCGTTACTAATGCATTTAGCAAATCTTAGGGCGTTTGACACTTCTTTTTGCTTGTGAACTGTATTGGGGAGTTAGGATCTCACAAAGCCATGCAACTAGAGCATCTGTGTACCGAACACTAATCATCTGGTGTGGACCCTGTGTTTGGTATCCATCTTGGAGAACACAGAACTGGGTCAGTTGTCAGCTCGAACCTCATTTTTAACCCTTCAACTAGGAATCTTTGCGGCAGATGCTCTCTCCCTGCCACGCTTGGTAGTCAGCCTCAGGAGTGCTGACCCCCCATCCTTTCAGGTCGGGTCCGCCTGTAACTACCACCAACGCGGCGTCCAAAGTGATTTCTGAGCCCGCACTACAGCACGGAAGTGAAACTTGAGGGGGCTGTAGCGCCAACAACATCAAACGCTGTCACCCTAAAGCCCTTGAAGACTTTAAATGGCACGAGGGATACCCAACACCTCCCAGGTAAACCACACGTGCCCCTACTAACGTACCATCATCTTGATCCCCAGCACGAAAGTCAAGACACAAACCTTGGAAGTGAGACAATCTTTAAATAATCTCATAAAGCAGATCAGATGTGCTGAAAGACAGGCAGACGGACAAATCATCAGTCGAGCAAAGCCAAGAAGCAGTCAGATATCAGACAAAGAAAACTACAAAAAAGACAAAGAAGAAGAGGAGAACGCCAAACACCTTAAACATAAGCCAACGATTGGACGAAACGGAGCGTAAATAACGGAGCAACTCTGCATGTCCCGATTCCACCGCGGCCAACGATTCCTCCACATTCGCATCAATGCGTTCTACCCTCTCCTCCTGTTCGTGTACCTACAAGGTGGATAGATGTGCTCCCGTAGGCGCCTTTCATTCCCTGAGAAAAGAGGAGGGGATTCAAGAAGTCAGACAATTACCATTGTTGCGAGTTGTTGGAAGATCTCACCCAACTCTACGATGGTGTGTTCAATGGTACGAACGGTATCGTGGCGTGCTGCCAGATAGGCATCGGTCTGATCGCGATAGAGAGTCATCTGCTGCTGTTGAATGGGATCTGCTAAAAGGGAACTGCTGCTAACACCAACGCCACTGGCTTGACGGGCTCGTTGCTCATCCTGTGGAAAAGAGTGACTCAATCAGTTTACGTCGCTCCCGAGGCATTCAAACCAATTAAAATTCAGTTATATCTGGGAACTTCCAAACCTGCAGAGAGTAGTCGATCCCTGATGGGATGTTCATGAGAGTGGAAAATTAACTTGTAAGCGTCTACCTTTTGTTGCTCAATTAGTGCTATGGGGTAAACAATAGATGGAATTAGATCCATGAAAAATTCGTCGAGGTGAGGGTTCGGCCAGCCAGTTGGTTGATAGTTTCAATGAAGAGCTTTACTGTTAATCTTGAAAGTGAACCAGCCTCATGTCACACAGGAAACCATCTGACCGAGTAAATTGTTCAGAAGAGATCTTGAATGTTCCCTTCGACTCATTGGTCTCGATCACACAACCCACATGATTTTGGGGAGTGAATATTCAAGGGCAATCATGAGCACGTTCCCCCTCTAGCTCTCCCGATTCCAACGGCTGTCGAAGACCACTGCGCCTGGAAGGTCGTCGAGGGCGCGCTTAACAAGCAAACTCACAATGTAAAGGAACTCTTGAAAACATGTGGCGCAAGCATGCAGGCAAGGCAAACACGCCTAAAAAAACTTCTACAAGCACACTACTGTCGCCGTTCGTATTCAAAGTGGCAAAACAATTGCCGTACATACACGTCATGCGATTGACGCTGTGAGTAATAAGAGAGGAGTTAATCCCGCCGACATCTGCTGGTTAACAAAGCAAGCGATTAAAAACGACAAAAAGCCATGCCGATTTGTTTACACAAAAGGGTGACACATTGTTTGACAATAACATGAGATAAATCACGTCATGTGAGATGCAACCACAAAGTTGAAAAAGGCGAACATTTTATCCACAGAAAACATCTAAAGGTCTTTCAAATGGGAGCAGAAAAGGAAAAAATCCACCTCATCGGAATTTAAATGGAGTTGCAGCGCTTTGGCAAAGTAGCGAAGAGAAGTGAGGTGGATTTGGACCTGATTGACATCATACACAAACGTAAACTATCCGCCCCCGAAGGAAAGGCCTTCTCTTACTCTAACGACTGCAAGTATTCAAAGATGAGGCCTCATTATGTTCTGTATTATTGGAAAGAGAAATAGAGGTGGACTAGACCTAGAAATAGCCAGGAACAATGTATCGGCTATTTTAGGGTGAGGGGGGAAGAAAACCATGAAATAAAAGGCCAAGTAGGTTCAAATCAAATGTCATTTTTATCTTCATCATTTCAGGGGCAAAATATGGAAACGCTCCCTAGCCCCGCGTTGTTTTTGGTTTCGGTCGAAAGTGGGAAGGATTCCAGTAAGGAAGGTAGGGGAAAATTGGAGTTCACTTTTGCCCAACAAGTCAAGACTGTCACTAATGAAAATCGCGCACTTTTTGCTACTTCTATATGAGAATAATGGAGATGGCCGACAGACATTGTGTTGAAAGAGATGCTTCGTAGAGGTCTCACATCTTTTAGAGGGACAGGGTCTCTTCAAGGGGAGGCTACACGATCGAGAAGCAGATGAACCCCAGCTCTTTTAATTAGAGCGCCTCGGACTATTTAAATGAGAAAATTGCCGAGAGAGTCACTAACAGGTATTTCCACGGTACCAAAGGTTTATCAATGCCTACTAGTAAAAATGCAGGGATGAAAATGAGAACGCATTTAGGCATTTTTGAAGCAATATCACGAGTAAGGAGGGCCAAAATTATGTAAAGATAAAATAACACGAGTTCTGGGATTGATTCTCATTTTTGAGCAAGAAAGTGTGGGAAAGATTTAAATCAGCGCTTGAAATTTTCAAATTAGCAACTGGGGAGAGCGGTCTACATTACACGCTTCATGATCCTGAGGTGGATGATCAATGGCTTTCACGACCACTTTACGCCCATCTCTCCATGGTCAAACGGATTAAGGACCACTGTAATCAGAGAGCGGTTGAGAGGACTACTGACTCGTTGATATCAATAACTAACAAGAAGGCCATGAACTACTTGGATAAAGGACGCAAATGAAGACCTTTGGCACCTTGATCCAAGGATACAGCGGTGCTGCCAAATTTCACTCTTAGGCTATAAATACGCACAGGCATTAGGCAGCTTAGCACTTACACAGGGAACATATCCAGAAAAAAAGCAATTGAATCGACGGAGCGGCTACATTTGGACTTTCTGAACCAATAAATCTGGAGAGGAGTATCAGCAATATCTAGAACTCATAGGCACTTGCCATTACTGAGAAGAATAACGAGTGGATGGGGGGCGTTAAGCACTATCAAGAGCTAATAGGTACATGCTCGATAAAAAATCGTGAAGTGATTTCTTATTAACTTACATTCTCCATAGGCTAGACGAATTCTTAGCAACAAAAAAAAGGAATAGCGTTTATCTTTCGGGACATCATTTGGTGGGTTACAGAAAGCATATTCACAATACCGAGAACTGACTTGACGAGAGGTAAATTTATTAGGGAGGCCACGGACTGGTGGAAAACAAACGAATACAATCATTAACCAAACCATACTGGAGCTAATAAAAGCTCTAAACTTCAAGGAAATTCATCAGCACGGCCCTTAAACAACTAAAGCTCCCCATCGACCAGGAAAATTTCCAAAAACGGTATCGAAGGATTAAAAGCTGTCTACCACCGCTCACCTGCAAGAGAATCGACGGGGTCACAGCAGCAGTAGGAATGGAAGAAGCGACAGAGGGTGACGACGAGTCCACTGCCTCCGGTTCGAATCCCTGATTAACCACTCCACCCGTCGTAATCAAACCCTGCTGGTGTGACGAAAAAGCACTTTTCCGCATTGTCTGGTCTCTCAGTGTCTTTGATCGCTGTTCGAGTACGCGTTTAAATCGTTCTGACATTCCTGCCAGTCGCGACTGAAGATTCATGAGTACCGAGGTGGCATGTCTAGATGACTGCTGCTGAGAAGAGCTGGCGGAAGATTTTGAAAGTGTGCTCAAATCAGCAATACGGTGGTTCAGATTCGCGATATCCTCCCGAATCAGCAAAGTGAGGTGTTGCACCTCAGCGGAGTGGTCATCAAAGAGAGTGCGTTGACGAGCAAGAGTGGAAAGACTTTCGAGGCGACCGCAGGTCACTGCCAGATCCGAACTGATGAGTGCGGCCATGCGGGCGAATTGAGAGGATCTAGACTTGATGCTGGCAGCGGCAATGCCGCTGAGAGCCCGATACTGGGGTGCCTTTGATGGGACAGAGTCGCCTGTTCGTATGTGACCATTAGAGGTGGCTGTACGGAGGGTGTTAACGAGCTGGATGAAATCAGCGGTACGATCAGCCCCAAAATTCATCTCAAAATGCTAAAGCGTAAAACCAAACAAAATTGAGAAAAAACAGAGGTAGCACAGACCAAAGTCGTCAGAATCGCTGATCGAAAATTTATTGTGAACACAAATAATAAAGAACAGCATATAACTGAGAAAACGAAGTAAAAGAAAGTTAGTGGCAATATTGTTAATAAGGGTAATAGAGATAGACAGGAAAGATGAATGCCAAACACAAATTCAAGAGATCGTGGGAGGACGCGACATAAATCCACCAAACTATCAGGGTAAAAATATATAAAAATACAAACGAAACAAATTACATCTTATCAGCGAGTTAAGCAACATGGAAATAAAAACCAGAAAGACGAACCGGTAGAGAGACAGCGCCAAAAGAGTGCAAGGCGTTAAACAAAGCACATCTGAAATTAAAATAATAGATTATTACTACCACTATTTTGATTGTATGTCTCTACATATTTTATTACGAGGTTCTTCCGCATTAGGAAATTATCCGCAGGCACCTGCAGATAGATTTTCAAACTCTTAAAATGTGTAAAGAGTCTATAACTGGCGTCTAAAATGGTACCAAAAAAAGCTTTTCACTTTTTGAAGTGGTTGTTGTTTCTTTTGGGCCATTTGTGTTTTGTTCCTGCCCCTAGCAAAACCATGATAATGCCCATTTTATGCTATGTTTTTAAAAATTAAAGTCAAAATAAAAATTGTTAAAAATATTATAAAAAGAAACATTAATGCATATCACCTTTAGGTTTAACAGCAAAAATAAAAAACCATAACATATAGGCAGTTACCTCACGATGCAGAACGAAAGTTATTATCCCATTTTCAAGATTTTAGTGCCAGTTTTGTCTCACAATTTTAACTCGTTTTTTATTTATATAAACCAGTATAATGCGCACTTAATGTGAGCCCTTACCCTCCCTG